AGCCCACGCTAAAATAAAGAGAAAGGTGAAGGCAAAGCACTGAAATTGTTCCCTTTTTTCCTATAGCTCCACTAAGAAAAAAAAGAAAAAGAGGAAATTGAATGCCATAAATATATTCAAACAATAAAATTTTGATTTACAGGAAGAAAAGCAAATAAATTGTGAGTAATGATTTGAGGTTGTAGAGGTCTCCAAACACTACATGATTTTTATTTGTCATGTGTGTTGCAGTATTTAGACTCACTGAAGTATATTCAGAACACAGATTCTGCCTAGTTTTTGAAGGTATTTTGTTTGGTTTGAGCTTTTTCCCCTCTTCTTAATCAAATGGGCTGCACAGGCACCTTTGTAGTTACAACACTGTGAGTCCAACAATCACAAGACAATGTGGTTTGTTGCAGTCATTGACTTCACACACACACACAGAAGTGACTCTTCTTCAGAGCTTTTGGAATTTTAGTCATGTTTCCTGATGATCCTTTGGCTACACTTAAAAATAGAGACAAATATCTCTACAACTGACCCCATGGTGGGCAGTGTCCTAAAGCTGTTATGCCATGGAATGCAGTCAAAAGGAGAAGATGCTTATGCATAAAATGCACTTTGCCTTAAAATTATCTTAGTCCAGTGGGAAACCTCCTACTGTTCCTATATGTATACAGACACACACCTTGTCCCTAAAATTATTTCAAATAGCCATTCTATCCAAGGAAGATGTCTACAGCTGAGTTTCCTCTTCTGCTTTTGCAGAAACAGTTAACTGAGAACGGATGGAAAAAAAAAAAGGTATGGAATTCAAAGATAATTAATTTACTATATATTTCCAAGGTATCAAACTTTAAAACACCTGTGAGTATCTGCTATTTTCAGCTTTCAGTCAAAGTAGCTGCCAATACCCACAGCACAAAAACTGAGGAGTAATTGCACAGATGCTGGGAAAGTCAGAGGGACATTCAAGGTAGTGTCAGTCAGTTTGGCTCCACTAGTCTGATCCATGACATTTTAAATGCAGATATGGCCAGTGTCCTGGAAAAAATGATTTGGGATACATCACAGAATAGCTTAGGTTGGAAGGGACCTGAAAGACCATCCAGTAAGGCTCTGGCACAGGCTGCCCAGAGAAGCTGTGGCTGCCCCATCCCTGGAAGTGTCCAGGGCCATGCTGGACAGGGCTCAGAGCTACCTGGGATCCTGGGATAGTGAAAGGTGTCCCTGCCCATGGCAGGGGTGTGGAACCAGGTGATCTCTTCCAACCCAAGCCATCCTGTGATTTATGGCATCGCTCCTCTTTCCCATGCTATCAGCAGCCATTGCTGATATATTGCTCTGAAGTTCTGGTATAATATCTCTGCACAATAAAATAGTCCATTTTGACCTGTGTGTGGATAATTTCATCACCCTGACACCTCAGCTTTCTCTCTGCATTCTTCTGCCCACCACACCTCTGGGTACCTTCAAGGAGAAGTACTAAAGAACGCTCTGACAGTAACATTTGGGTTTGTGACTGGGGCACACGAGCAGTTGCTCTGTGAATCACTGGCACAGCCCTGTAATCTCCACTGGAAGATGCAACCATGGTAGAACTGGTGTGTTAAATCATTTTGTTATGAATCTAGGAGCACATTTGTAAGTTATTATACAACCAGTGCATTCTATGAAACAAGCTGGGAAGCCCAAACTTCCCAGCTTCAATCCCTGCCCGAGCCTAGTGAGTCCCTGAAGGATTTACCTCTTTGCTTTTGATTCCGTGTGTCACTGGAGAATAACAGCACTTACCTACTTCACAGCAAGGCTCTTGTGAGAGCTAATTAATGTTTGTTGCACAACACTTTGAATTTGTAAAATGTCATTTAAGTGATAAGTATTATTGCCATTATCATCAGCGCTGTCCTGGGTACCACAGACACACGAAGGCGGCTGCTCTAAGAGCTACTTAATACATTAAGGACAAGGAGCAAAGTGGAAAAAGTATCAAATCCTTTTCATTTTCTTAAGAACAACAAGTGCTTAAAAAAAAAAAAAGTGGTTGACAACATCTGCTTGTTTTGAAGATTTCTGTTTTAGGGTCTGTTCTCTGCCACACTCACTCTGACTCGTCCCCCAGGTAGCTGCTCCAACTGGTTGTCAGTGGGAGCATGGTGTGATGGCAGCAGAACCCACCACACTGGGAGCTGCCTGGAACAGAGATGCTGCATAGGTGCAGTTTAATAAGTGTATTTTTCCCCAGCTTCCCTTCCTGTGGAACCTCATCTCCCTTTTTAATTTCGTTTTCCCCTTTCCAGACAGCAGAGGTAAGGTCAGCAGCCAGTGATGTAATAAACTAGTTAGGAAAGTGCTGCAAAGTGCACCACATGAGATAATAACTATATTTAGCTATAAAATTTCAACGTGGATTATATTTTGAAAGTCTATTTATATAACTCCTTTTGTGGATAAATTAAAAACTATTTTAAGTATTCAAACCAGTGGGGGTAAAAAAAAAAAAAAAGGCTTAAATTATGTCCAAAAGGTAAGGACATGATTCAGTACATGAGGAGAGAGACCCTGGAGGTTTATCCCCTTTCAAAAGGCAGGGATTTCTAGAAAAATCCATTAGTTTCAACCCTTGGACAGATGCACATCCAGTTTGGACCCTGTACCCTACCATCTCAGCTCACCCTGAAAATCTGAAACTGCAGCACGAAGGATTGTGGTTCTCTGGCACTTTTCTCCTCATTAACCTGAGGTTCTGTGGAACCAACTCCAATCAGGAAGATATTTACATCCAGATCAATGGGAAATGAGACTCCCCAACACAGACTGTCCTGCACAATATTTTAGTGTCCCAAACCTATTAAGAGCTATGAGATTTATACCATGAAGTTCATGCACCATGCTATAATTTACACCTAAAAGTTGTCTTGCAGCTGCTTCCCCTTGGCCTGTTCTTCCATTACATCCAAATTAATAAAGTCTATAACCTGTGTGTTCCTATGCTAAAGATAATGAAGGAATGAGGGGTGGGTGGGAAGGAAATAATGACAACAATGACAAAATCAACACTAAATGATAATATTTCTCAACTGCTGTGACTGTCTGAAAAATTTTGGCTTAATGCATCTATGATATTGTGTGTTAAAAACAAAACACTTGTGTTTTTCTTATTTTTGACTTCTCAAATCAGTGCCTCAGCAAGGCACCACCATATGCAAACTACACAGAGCCCCAATTAGGATCTTCTCTGTTAAACCCTCAGTGATACTGCAAAGCACAGACAAAAGTGTAACTAAATAAATAGATACCATCATATAAATCACAGAGATTAACCTCAAGCTTGTGAAAATAACCCTTGTAAATATAAAGTGAAGGTCATCAGACACCCAGCACACAGGGCTGACAACAGTGGGACATAGGCAGACTGGGCTGGGCTGCCACCCCATGAGCTGAATTCATATCTCCTGCCAATATATGGAATTTTCCTTCTGAGTAATAAACTACTCAACGGGAAGGAAGAATCCAGAAACACAAAGTGCATCATGGAATGCAAATTCCTGAGGGAAACCACCTGAGGCAGGTGCAAAAGCTGCTGCTGCACGTCCTCCCTCCCCTTCAGAAGGGGGTAATAAAAAGCTGGAATGGACAAAGAGTTGGTGTGTACAAGCCAGAATACCAAAAACCAAGCAGGAGCAAGAACAGCAGTTGTAGGAAGGGCTGAGGGATGTGTTAAACCCACAGTGCCTTCAGAGAAACGGCCTCATCCCCTCTAGTAACAAGTGCAGCAGCCCCAGCCTTTATTTACTATGTATGCACATATCTTTGACCTATATTTTGAAAACCATTAGGAATCCAGAATATGGACAAACAAAAATAAGGAGAGAGGTTTTTTGTTATTGTTGGGTTTTTCCTCTTCTCTTTTGTGCTAAATAGCACAGCCTCAAGCCATTCCTTACAGTTGCAAACATGTTCAAATGAGGCCTTCAAAGGCTGGAGGCTGAACTCTCCCGGGTGGACTCTCTTGTAATCATTAGGCTAAGCAGAAAACACAAAACTGCTGTAAACAACAAACTTATAAAAGAGAATGTTAAATATCATGCCACCAAGTCAACAGGAAACTGAAGCTCTCTGATACACAAGTCATGGTCACGAGGCACACTGTGCTCACATCAAAATGTAACTTGGTTTTCTTCTGTTTATTTTTCTTCTCTGCTTATTACTTTGTGTGAGAATGAAAGGCAGTAGGGGGAGAGAAGCAAGACAACAGACAGTCGTGGTAACAACAACACTTTCAACTGACTTTGGCTCTCCTAACAGCATCAGGAAGACAAAGAACATCATACACTGCGAGTTTATTAAGTAAAAAAGGAGGTGAGAACTCCCAAAGAAAGCACAATCCAGAAACAGCAGATTCTGTATTGAACAGTCACTGATTTACCTTTAAAGACGGAGCTTTTTCACGTGATAAAGACCCTGGAGAACACAGCCCTTTAGCAGACAATAATTAGGTGCCTGCCTACACATCCTTTCCAAGTTGATCTTGGATCAACTCCTCACTTTTGCCCCAGAAGTGTGAAATTTGCTGCAGATGCCACTGTGCACCTCAGCTGCTTCATGAAACCAACTGAGGAATCTCTTCTGGAACTAAGGAACAACTTGATTTTGGTGACTTGTAATACCAAAACTAAGGGTTGTGTGACCAAAATAAAGGCAAAAGAATTGTGCACTACCACCTCTATCAGATGTACAGTGATTCACATCAGAGTTCTTTCCCAGTGACAAAAAAACCAAAGTACATTCAATGACAAAAGTTCTCAAAAGAAAGCCCACAATTCACAGAACATGCTGCATTTCAACTTTCTAATGTCTTCAGCTAAGAACATCTTAAATTCCTTAAGTTAACAGCAGAAATACATTCACTTAAAAGCAAACATGCAATTAGAATAATAAACTTGCTGCTTGCAAAAATGTTGCCTTATAAACAGGATATTTACTGAAAGCAGTTGTGTTCCAACTATAACACTTACCTTCACAATTGTGTTCTCTCAATAATGAGTTGGGGCTTCAAGAGCTTCCACACTTTGTTGCACCCAGGTATGGTAGTTATGGTTTCTCAGGCAAACTGCACTTAACCTGTGAAAAACAAAATAAACTTTCAATTCATGTACTGCCTGGCAGAAAAACAGAAACTCATGGCTAAAAGGACTTTGATGAATTAAATTTTCACTACAGGTGTCACTTTTTGGCGAGCTGCCTGTGCTGTTTGAGTTCTCTGGGTATTCCTCCTCAGCACACTCACTAATATCATTTAATGCTGATCTAATTCACTTGGCAGTGCCCCCCATGGCTTTGGCTGCAATAAGTACTTCTAACATTTACAGGCCCCCGTTCCCAACCACTAATCCAAGTGGAAGCAGCTGTTCTGCTGCCTCAGTGTGGAGCTCTGGTTGGCACCTTGGCCACAGCTGTAGCATGTCTGTGCAGCTCATGGAAAACACCAAAATACCAAAATAGTTCAAACCAACAAGGTTCTGATTTGTGCCATGACTCCTGTGTCATGTAAGAAGTACTTCCCTTTGTTCAATTCACTTACTGCATCTGTTGTATCATGCATCTAGTTTAAAAATTAATAATTTCTTGGTAAAAGTTACAGTATTTCAGTTTCCCACCTTATCTCCAAGGTTTCTCTGAGTCTGAGGAAGCAACAGAATTCCACCTTCCCCCCTTGCCACAAACATCAGGCTTCAGAAAGTAAAATAATAGGCAGAGCTCCACCCTTACACTCAACAAAGATCATTTGGGGAGTGAAGTTCCTGGTATTTATCAGATCTTCCAACACAAACCATAAGCTCCAGGTACAACCTGCCTTTCCACAGAAAAACACCCAGTCACTGGGATATGGGAGTCACTGTGGCCATGGTAATCCAAATATACTGCCTTAAAACTGCAAATGCAAGAAGGTGTTCATAACACTTGAATCTTTAAGGTGAAAGGTTGTCTTTATTTTTTTTCCTCCTAATTTTTTACTTTCACAGAAGTGGGTTTAGGCTCATTTTGAAAGGAATCTGCTCTCCAACCATCAGTTGTTGTGGAGCTGTTCCAGGAATCCAACAGATGTGATGGAGGGACTGCTCCAAGCATCCACACCCACCAGATCCAAGATCCCTTTCCCACGTTCCCACCTCAGTTTCAGCCACAAATGAACCTCTGGCCATGGAAAGAGGAGGAGGCCCCACAGGGCCACGGCCTTAAAGGGAACAGTTAAAACCAAACCTCAGCTTAAGCGTTTTGTTGGATCAATTCCAAATCAAGTCCCAATTCTTTGTGTTTTGACAGTTTTGTAACGTAAAATAGAACACACAGACAGTAGAAACACAATCAAAGTCTTTGCTACTTGAGCCTCTGGAAGTCTCTCCTATTTATAAATAGCAAAAACGTATGTTTATGTAAAGGGAAACACTGATTTACTAGAACTGATTGCTTCACAGTCTAATTACTTTTCAACTGGCTGTTCCAAATTAAGATGTCATTGATGGCTTTTGGTGATATATTTCATTTTAAGCAAATTTATTCTATAATAGAGCACATCATAATGGAAAGCAGAGTTTCCACTCTTCCCTCCTCTTTGTAGCCTGATATCTTGACAAGTAAATTAAATTTAGCAGTTAAAATGCTTCCATTAGTAATTTTATTAAGTTAATTAAGGAATCTCTCTTTCTGAATTTTAACTACATTCATTTCAGCACAACCTTGATTTTCTTTTTTTTTTTTTTTTTAAATTCCATACATTTTGTAACCATGATGGTTTCTAGGACAAACAACTGCCTATAGAGCATTCCTAAGACTATGACAAACTCAAATAAGAAAAAAGCCAGAAATTTTAAAATAACAAAACCTCGTTTTTTTCATTTAAATTATTTTGCTCTACAAATAAACCAAGACTCTCCTACTCAAATCTAGGGACTATGCAACTCCAAAATCTACAAATCACAGCAGAAATTACACATCTAGAACATTTCTGCTCTAGAAAACAGGTCACGATGTGTAAATCAGTGTCAATAAAATGAGAATTAGCTGAACCCTCACCTATTGCTTAAGCCAAATTCATAACTCCTGGTTCATGGAAACTCTGCATTTCATAAATAATGCCTTAACTTTCATTTACCTTTTTCATCTTTCAACACAAAAGGGACAAATAGAACCAAATATTATGAGAGCAACTGTTCCCTTTTATATCCCTCCTCCCTGAATCATGGGACTATGAGAAATTCCCCGAGATTTTCAATTGCCTCCAAAGCAAAGAATTCTGGGTAGTTTATATCCGAACTAAATTCATATATTGTAAACATGAGCTAATAAAGTGCTTTATTTTTTCAGTCACCAGCACTGCAATGTGCAGAAAACCTCTAATAGTAAAAAAAAAAAATAATCTAATTTATCTTCTCACCTAAAGGAAGGGGATTTTTCAATAAACAGTCAAACATTAATTTGCCCCAGGACTGGGGCCGGACTAATGATAATGTCCACTTGACATTCCATGGTCTGCTGAAAAGAAACGTCTCCAAGAAGTAAAATACGATTATTTAAACCCAAACACTAAGCACAAGGAAGGCTGACACTGATTGTGTATGACAAGGCCACCCAGGGGCACAGCTCAGCACGGGCACATTAACATGTACAGATGTAACAGTGCTCCCTATCACAGCCAAACATGCACCAGGCTAAGGGATAAACAACTGGGAAGGGGGAATTATTTACTGTACCAAAGATCCGCTGATACAGGTTTGGGGGGGAAAAAACGGCAATATTAAAATGGGGATAAATGCTACAGAGTTCATTGATCCCACCTGATCTTAACAGAGGGCAGAGAACCCCTGTAGCCAGGCCCTGAGGACTGGAAAAGCTTGGGAGAAGGATGGCTGGAAGTAGAGGGGAGAAAAACCACATAGAAGAAGTAACTGTATAAGGATCTCACATTAAATTAACTTTTTGACAGTGAACTACTTGGATTTTTTTCTTTCCTAGAGAACTGACCAACCTCCCTCACAGGAGCTTTCCAGCATGCACAGGACAAGACAGGCAAGAAGGGCCAAGGATGAGGTAAAATTAGTAGTCTAAATTACACAGATCACCTCTAATTACATCATAGTTGGGCTGCAAATAAAAGCAGTGATAAAACAGACTATTTAAAATGATGTTCATGTTGTACTGGTGGAGAACTGCCTATGGAGATGTTGATCCCATTCCACCATGCAGTTCCAAATGCACCAGGTGCCTTTTGCCAAGTGTTTTGGCTGAAAGATGGGAGTGAGGTCAAAACGTGGCAGAATTTCTCTACAAACAAGAGCAAACAGAGACTGTGGGGTTTTTTTATTTTTCATTAGTAATGGTCAGATGACTCGGGAGGAAACTTTTCCCAGCATAAATGATATTTTGTTATAAAAGTTGTACCTCACAATTTATTTTTGCAGAAACAGAAAAGCCTCAGACAAATTCTCCAAAGAGAAAAAAAAGTTCATCAATTTGAATAAAAATGTGTTGTTTCATTTTTATAAATCAAAACATTTGGGGGGGGTCCTCCTGTAACTAATGACATTCTGCATTTAGAGCAAGATTTCAGGTATAGAATAAAAAACTAATCAAGCTTGAAAACACATGAAGTCTTTAAATCTGTTTTTCCTATATCAAGCACAATTAATCAATCATTCTTGATATATCATTGGAGTTAAAGAAAAGCAGTAAAGGAAAAGTTTGTGGAATGGATAAACTCTGCAAGAATCTTCTTTTTTATTATAATATTTCTAATATTTGGACACACATACAAGTTTGTAGAACCAGCCAATCTCCTCTTCCCCAACACTTTAACTAATTACTCACTGAATCTTAAAATTGGGTTGATTTAAAAGTAAGACTTATCAAGATATGATACACAAGTTCTCGATTCATTCGGCCTGAAGCTTAAACACTGTTTTTACAGGTAGAAAAATAAAAGAGAAAAAAAAAAAAAAAGAAAAAAGAGGCATAAATAGTCTCCACAAAGGGATTTTAGAAGCAGACTAGACTAATTTCAGTACATTCACTACCGCATTTTTTTAGGAATATTCTGTACCACCATTTTAAGCAGTGAGTAAAGCTTCCAGAACTGATGTTATGGGCACAGAGAGTTTTGTGGGGAAAAGATAACACATGAAAAACAAACAAACAAACAAACAAAAACAAACGAAAAACCAAAACAAAACCACAACAAACCCCCTCAACCTAAAACAAGCATAAGGCTGATTTCCTCAATTTTAATCATATTTTTTACTTTATGGTAGCTCACCATACCTTTGTAAAACAGTAAGGGACAGTATGCAATAAGTTAAAGTCAATGTCCCCTCAGGCTTCTAAGGCCTGTGAGAGGACACTAAACTACAAATGGAGGGATCCAGATTTTCACTGTGTGGGGAACAGCCAAACATTATCTCCACCAGGAGGAAAAAGCCAGGCTGTGCCAGCAGTTTCTCAGGTTACACATCTCAGGCTCTCACATTTGTATTTTCAAGGCCTGGGCCCAACAAAATGGCGCCTGGGCCCAACAAAATGGCGCCTGGGCCCAACAAAATGGCGCCTGGGCCCAACAAAATGGCGCCTGGGCCCAACAAAATGGCGCCTGGGCCCAACAAAATGGCGCCTGGGCCTGACAGGGCCTCTCCTTCCCCCTGCAGCCCCCCACAGGTGTCACCTATTAAGTGATGTTGAGAACAACTGAAAAGCTCCTGCCAGGATTGTATTTGCTTTCCATAAATCCAGGGATTAAAGATTATGTGAACAAATAAAACAGTCTCCATTCTAACTTCCCCACTACAAAGGAGGAGGCTACTTGCAAAACCACAGCAACAAAGCTGGAAAGGATCAGGAGAGGTCAGAGAGTCCATCCCTGGGCTCTGAAAACAGGTTCAGGTGTATCTGCATGAGTTTTAAACAGGTGTTTCTCCAGCCTGTTATTTAACACCTCTAATTGCAAGGTTACACAGTGCTCTCAGCAGCTCATCTCCATGGTTAGAGAGTTTACATCTGCACTAAAATAATTCTTTTTAAAAAAAATCAACCTTGCTAATAATCAAGTCAATTATTTCTTGTTCAGCACTCCATGAATGGGGAGAAGAACAATTGCCTTGTAACCTTTTATATTTTAAGACTATTCAAGTGCCTCTCACAAACTAATTCCTTCTAAACTAGACACACACCATTATTTTGACCAGGAGATTTTCTCCTTCCAACATACCTTGCTAAGAAGGCCCACAGTTTTCACCTCTGTACTGTATCTTCCATGATTCACCACAGAAGAGACAAAAGAAAGCACCCATTTGCCCCCAGTTTGCAGTCTGAGACTGGGACCAAGTTAGGACTTGCAATCAGTCCTTTCCCCTCTCCTTCTCCACACTCACAACTTGGCAACTTTCTTCCCTAGATTCAATCAGCTATAATCCTAAACAGGATTTCTCTGCTCAGTCCTACAGAACCTCTATAAAACAAGGCACTGCCTTATCTGAAAGCACCATTTAGCATTTTATACAAAAGAAGAACAGAGATGAGCTTAAGTAAGGAATTGTTTTCCAGTTCAAATGCTAAAACACACACACAACTTCTGAAAGCATCAAAAAACAAATTAATATCTGTAGTTGGTTTTGGAAATACAGAACTCCTCCTTAGCATTAAGCTGTCTTTTAATGTCTTAGCAATACATTTTTTCCCTCCATTAAAAATATACATATTTACCACAATGGCTTTTACTGATGTGGCACTTCATTTACAAAGCAAAATACACATACCCAAACCCAGTATAAATCTTTCAAAAACATGCACCACAAAAAATCCTGTAGAACTTCCATATCAGACATAATCTTACCTTTGGAAAAGAGCCTCTGTGTTCTCCACACATGGATCCACTGGTGGCAGACAAGGGATTTTCCCTGACTACAGGTACTCACTCCAAACCAGCTCAAAAAAACTGAGGGGAATCTGAACATCAAATTCAGCCTTCCATACTTTGATTTGTAAAAAAACCGAGGAACAAAACTTTTATAAAGTGATTTTAAATAAATCACAATTGATTACGTGTGCAAACACATCAACTAAACTTAGATGCACATTGAAATAAGTAATCCCAGTTTGGGAAAAGCTGGAAACCCAACTGCACACTGGGCAGCCCAACTGGCACTGGCCAGTGTGCCCTACTCGTGCCCAGGTGTTTCCATTTGCTCCCAGAGCCAGGATTGGTCTCTCCCTAACGAGGGTCACCTGTTGAAAGCACCTGAACCAACTGACACCCAAAATTTAACGGCCCTTTTTTGGAGTTTAACGACTTGGATCCATAAGGGTTTCCAAGGAGAACTTTCTAGAATATCAACCTGAAACAACATCACTCCTAATGGGATAACTGGAGATAGAAACCGTTCAGTTAAAAACACTTGGCACAACTGGAAATTAGTGCTTTTCTCCCAAACTCTCTCACTTGGATACAAGATCCTGTTTAACTCGAATGCAAACCCACCCTAAATGAAAAAAACCAATTCTTTAAGCAGTGAGCATTTATGGAAAACAAAATTTATTCTGATTTTATTTACCCCATGTTGAATAGAAATATTGCGTGAGCTGTCAACTTTTTCCTTAAAGATCTTCCTTTCTATTCCAATTTTATCCTGCCAGCAAGTACAAACAGCACATTGATGGCTGGAGATGTTATCTCCTAACATCAAATAAATACACTTCTAGGTCAGAAGGGACCTGATTTGATTCCAGCCTGTGCTTTCCCCAGCACTGGGGCCAGGATTTTACCCATTTCTCATCTGCTTTGCTGGATTGTTCCTGCTTTACATAATAGTCTTGAAATCTTTCCCAGCAAAACCACCAAAAAAGTGCTGCTAAATAACACATGAAACTTGTTTGCGAAGATCCAAACTTTCCAAATCTCACATGCAAACTGCCTTTAAAGAAAAGCATAACCCTCCTATCACTATGTCCTAATCCGAGTTTGAAAGAGTCTCCCTGAAAATGAGGTTGACACAGAGAGATGACTTTGGGGTCAGAAGGGGAGGATTTTTTCTTTTCATGTTTTCCACTCTTATTCTTGCACAAGAGTAGAGGCCTCCTGTCAAACAGAGCCCGTAAATCCAACAATAACATAAATAATAACCTAGAAACTGAACACCTTATCTGAGTTCCCTTTGAGTTTATGGTTTAGAATATCCTGATTTATGGCAAGCAGAGGAGAACATGCAAACTAAGCTATGGGGTGTAAGAGAACAACATGTAATGCCTGTCTGGGCAAACACAGCAGAGACATTCTCTGTTCCAAGGAGCTGGCAACCCAAACAGCTGCTGATCCCTAACCAACCTGTTCCTTGCATGTTTACAACTCCCACCCAAGCTGTGCTGCTCCCTGGTATTTACCTGCCAGCCTGGGCCCTGCTCTATATATAAATTGCAATTATGAATTTAGGACACCTGTACGTGAAGCATCTTTCCAGCCATGCACACAGTCAGATGGCAGCTGATAGTTTCATAATTCACCAAAAACTTTTGAGGCTGATGAAACACAGCCAATTCCACAAAAACTGGTGGGTTTGGCCCTTCAGTTTGAGGGGGTTGAGTCTGAGGAGCAGTAAACACAACTATACTGGAGATGGACACACTGTGACCACAGACCACACCGGATCTCTCTGGGAGGCATGAGGGTGCTGGAATTATGGTTCTAATGAAATTGTCAATATTAATCCTGTTATTGGCAGCTTGAAAACCTTGTTTAATGAACTAGACATTAACGAAGAAAATAAAAGTACTTTAAAAGCTGCAGTATGAGGACATGATAATTGGTCCAGGCTTTGTGTCCACGATGAAAAGCAGAGGGACAGCATTACCATGGAGCAGCATTAGGATCATCAGGGGACTGATGTTTTGTTAGACCTCCCACAATTATCAGCTGGAATTTGGGGTTTGCTTTACCAGCAAAACTTCTTTGTCACACAACCTGTGAAATGGTCCAAAATGTAATAACATCTCTGTGGGAAAGTTTGCAAGGTTTAAAATAATTTAGTGGTGACAGAAACACAGATTACCAGCTGGCAAGAAAGGATGAATTTCACCCCCCAAGATTTCCAATGCCCTCGACCCAGACAAAGGGGGTGCAGCAGTTCCACAGCACCAGAACCTCTGCATAGGTACTGATGCTGGGTTTGGGGATTTGGGGTTTTTTTAAGGCACTTCTAATTAGTGTGACAAAGGTGCTGCTCCATGCTTCACACAGAACATGTAAACATACAAAAATTCACACAGCACACAAGTTTCTGCAATGAATTCATTTTTATGGGGAAGGAAGGCAGTGCAGCAGTGCAGAGCTGAAATCTTTACCTGTTTGCCGAGATCAGCTCAAGCAGAATCCCAGACACAGCAGAAATAGGAAGATAATTTCCTCGCTGGTGTGAAATTTAGTAAAAAATACTTTCCCCCACCCCCAAAGAGACAAAAGATTTGATTTGCCCACCCCAGTGGATAAGGGGAAAAATCAAGATGGATGGTTTCACCTGCACACCTTTAATAACAACACCTCGCTCTGGCAGATCCCAAAACACTTCTGAAGTGCTTTTAAAACGTGGGCAAAGTGTGATGGGAAAGGATGTGCCTTTCTCCCAGCCTGTTACAGGACAGCAGCAGGACCAGCGTCCTGAACCCCAGCCAAGGGCTCCATTTGTGAGATTACAGAGGAAAACAGAGACCTGATCTACATAACAGAACACTTTGCAGACAGATAAGCCCTTGGTTACAGGGCCTTTTAGGCTTTGGATGGACACATACAGTGATCAGGATTTTTTATATACATATATATATATTTGAGCCACAGAGCTGCTGGATGCCAGTCACAGCTGAACAGGTAACTGGGCCATTTGGTCTTCCCAGTGACAACTTCACACACATTTTTTGTTTCACCCAAAACACCCAGTGCTTATTTGCAGGGGGCTTCATACAGGTTACACACAGCATTAGTTGTCAGAATATGCATCTGGGAACAGAGGGTGGCAAATGGGATGCAATTCCCTTTTTGGTGCATGTGGAGCGTTAGAATATGAAAAATGTCCTTGTGCCTTCTAACTAAATATGTAGTTCAAAGACCAGGGTAAGGACTCATAATTCTTGTGAGGATGGTTATTTGCTGTTGATAAAAAGGATGGGGATATGACCAGCTTTGTGCTCAGCAGAGGACACAGATAGTTGCACTCTTTCCAGGGAGAAGAAACTACAGCAACCTGGGCCTTGGCTACAATACCTTCATTTAACTCTTCCCTCAGGCAGTTTGTCCCTTTCTTCTAACACAAACACTGTTTTAAATCCAAAGTCTGGGCTGTGTTGCAGGAGGTGCTGCTTTCAGATCAGTGACTTTACTCTTCTGAGTGTAAAGGGAGGAAGAGTTTGATACCTCATTGAAAGAACCAGGTCTAAAGTCTAAGTGAGCCATTGTCATTTGCAGAGGAAATCCAGTTATATAAAGTTTTGGGATGGTTCATTATTCAGCACAACATATTAATCAATGTAAATATGATCAGTGCAGAGGGAGAGCTCTGCCAGGCAGCTGAAGGTGACTTTGAAG